AAGAAAGGAAGGAAGGAAGAAAGAAAGAAAGAAAGAAAGGAGGAGGTGGAAAGAGGGAGAGAGAGAGAGGATAGGAAAGAGGGAGAGAAAGACTAGCCTATAAGATCTTGGGCAAATCACTTGACATTGATGGCCTCTGACTTCTGTGTAATAGGAATAATAATTACATCTGGATGAGGATTACATGACTTAAAAGCACATGAGGATAAGGAAATCTGAGTAGCTTGCAGGTAATGAAGTGAACCCATGCTGGCTCTTTTTGATACAGTACCAACTTTCTTTTCCTAAGCAAACTAAGCTTATCAGTCAGTAGGTTCTGGAATTCACTTTCCCCCTTTTAAAAACTGGCATAGTTGCCTAACCCCAGGCATATACTTCTTTCCTCTGTGATTCTTCACAACATGTTTATAATCATATCTGGAAGTGCCTTTTGTAGCCCTAGATGTAGTTTACATGGATCAGAAGATTTGAATGTCATTTAAATTTGAATTTCATCTAAATTTAAATTTGAATCTCATTTAAATTTACCCTTCCATCATTCACCTTGAGGTCTCACTTCATTTTAAATGTTTTCTTTGTCCTGACTATAAGAATATGCATTGGGCTGGGGATTTAGCTCAGTGGTTCCAGCACCTGCCTCGCAAGTGTAAGGTCCTGAGTTCGATCCCCAGTACCAAAAATAAAAAAAGAATATGCATGTCTACTGCAGTAAATTTAGAATACACAGAAGTCCCAAAGAAAATAAAATCAATTTGGTTCCACTAAGATATTATCACTGTTAATATTTTACTGTATAATTGTCTGGGTTCTTTTTCTGAGAAAAGATACTTACAAATAAGTGACCAACATTTTCTGGTGTCATAATTATCTTCTAAAACCTTCTTAAACCGTGTATGTACCTTTCATCATAGAAGTATACCACAATATATGTGTTAATTCTACTCAATACTTAGGTTATCATTAAGTATGCAGTATTTTTTTTTTGGTACCAGGGATCGAACTCAGGACCTTGCGCTTGTGAGGCAGGTGGCAGAACCACTGAGCTAAATCCCTATCAATATTATAAAGAATACTGCACTAAGGCCAGGGATTTAGCTCAGTGGTTTTGCCGCCTGCTTCGCAAGCGCAAGGACTCGAGTTTGATCCCTGCTACCAAAAAAAAAAAAGAATACTGCACTAAATACTGCATTCTTTTATATTAAATTTTGTAAGTGTCTCTGATTATTTCTTTGGCTAAAGTCTTAAAAGTAAAACTACTATGTTAAATGGTTTAATCCATCTGAAATGTATTTTATTCCTTCTTAGCCATGTTTGTTTCATTCTTCTGAATTAGAGAAGATGCTCTGTATCAATAGACACTCCACTTGCTGTGTCTTAAACAACAAATAGAATTTACTGGCTCACATAAATGAAAAGTTCAGACTTCAGGCCAGATTTGGTCAGGTGACTCACACAATGTGTTGAGACCTGACAGTTTCCTCTTCATTTCTTTGCTTTAGGCCCTGGTGACAGTCCATTCGCAATAGACTATGCCCTTGTGGTCTCACAGAAGAGGCCAAACATTCTCAGGATTCATGCTTCTACATTCTCTTCCCAAAGGAAAGCATCCTTGGCCTAGTACTCTCAGCAAAAGTCCTGACATTGTCTTTGGTGGAACTGTCTTAGGTCACATGTCCATGTCCAAGTCAGTCACTGAGCCCGAAGGAATGCCATCCAATGACTGGGCACACTCCTTGTTCCCTGAGATGAAGGTGGCATCCGCTTTCCCACAACTCCAAGTCCACCCCACTGGAAGGCACAGCTGGGAAAAGTAAGCACATATGAGATGGCAAAAGTTCTATACTTAAGTACCAAGGTCACTGTGTTCAAAAGAAATGACAAATGCTCTGCCATCCAAAAGCTTATTTGTCTCACCACTGTAGATACTAATAGACATTACAGCTGCAATCCTGAAAAACGTGGTTCCTTCCATTTATGTTCACGCTAAAATGGAGCACTTGGGCATATGAGTTTCTAAAGGTCTGATCATATGTGGTTGAAACAACTTCCTTGAATTCCTTCCTTATTATATGGGTTCCCAAAGTGGAATGGAAATAGACAATTGTTTCCATTCTCTTCTGAATTTTTTCTAAATTCTGAGGTTCCTGGCTACCTTGTTCTATAGTCATTTGTACATTCCTTGGCCTGTGTGTGTGTGTGTGTGTGTGTGTGTTGTATGTATGTTTGTAACCATCTCACTTAATCACTGTGCAACATCTTCTCCTGTTGTGTTTTCCCAGGCCTATAATCTTGGTTTAACTATCTACCTCCTCAGAGCCTTACATGGGGTTCATCAAAGCTGAGTACATTGGACCCTAGAGCAAGTAGAGCTTTAAGTCCACCACTTAATTGAATCTGAGGAAGAAGGACACAGAGGTGCACACATACTATGTGCCAGGAAGTTCAAAATGTGCTGCCCAGGAGAAACATTATCCATTTGACCCATAGTAGACACTGTCGTGAGTATACTCCTAGCAGTTCCTTTATCTTTTCCTGTGTCTTGGCTTTGCCTGGATTTGGACACACATTCCCTGTCTCCATCCACCCCTCTGTGACACACACATCCAGTGACTTGCTTTCCATGGGCTGGCAATGGTCCCTTTACCCACCCATATGCCTTTCTGGCCTCAGTCCTGTCTCTAGTATGTGCTACCCTCTTATTCTTTAATAGTGCTCATCTGATTGCCTCTACGTCCCACACGGGACAACACACTTCCAAATGTGGCCTTTGAGCTCTTCTCTGATTCTTCCCTGTCTTTTGGTGGCCACCCGCAGGACCACAACTTTTAGAACACAAAGTGGACGCTTCACCTGAGTACAACTGATGCAGGCAATGTTAAATGAATAAAACTTCAAATTTTCTCTATTCTAAGACCAACTTATGGTAGGATACATCACCATTTAATGGCTATTTTGAGCCCTCCTCCAAAACACTACCACATTAAACATACTTATTCAAGATACATTCTGATTTTAGAAATATTAAAAATGTAAAGGAAAGAGCCTAGACCTTAGAATCTAGAAAATTCTGTAGTTAAATGATTCTGATTTTCAGTTTACTAATATTAGACATCTACTCCATTTAACAACATTCCCCCTTCTTCATTATTAAATGTTAACATAAACAAACAAACAAACTTCCTATTTACTCTTTTCAATACTTTTCCAGACTATAGCTGCCTCTGGACATTAGCCTTTGAGGCATTCTTCTCATGGGTGGGAGCCCTTCTTCTGAAGGTAACCTTGATGTGTAGTAGTTCTGCCTTATCCAGAGTTTCAACTTTAGTGACCTTTAGTCAACCATGGTCTGAAACCATTAAATAGAAAATTCCAGAAAGAAACAGTCTCTAGGTTTTAGATAACATTTTTTTTTGGTACCAGGGATTGAACTCGGGTCCTTGCACTTGTGCAGCAGGCGGCGAAACCACTGAGCTAAATCCCCGGCCCTTAGATCACATTTTTTACAATATATTGTTATAATTAATCTATTATAGCTATTGGTGTTAACATCTTACTGTGTCTAACTTATGAATTAAACTTTAACAGAGGTACGTACGCACAAGAAAAAACCAGCAATCATGAATATGTATGTGTAGGAAAAAGTGTAGTATGTATGTGTTTGATGCTATCCAAGGTTTTGGGAATGCATGCGGAGTCTTGGAATGTAATCCCCTTCACAGATAAGGAGAGGACTACTGTATGTCCCTTCTCCTGCCTTTCTTATGTGTCCTTTAAAAAGATGAGCTTGTCAGAACACTTCTTGAGCAACCATGGTGATCTTTTTAAGATTTTCTCCTTTTCACTGAAATCAGTGATTTTGTGAGAATATACATTTCAAGTCAGTTTACTCTTCTTGAGCTTCACTTCTCAGTTCCTAGCCATACAGACTCATGTCCCTGTGATCTCTTAACTCTCCTGCCTTCTTCATATCAGTAGAGTGAGCAGAGCTGCCTTCTCTGGCTATTACACTCTCAAGGGTGCAATGGCAGTTCATTTAAAATTGTTTGTCACTTCTGCTTCACCAACACATTCTTCTTACCTGGTTGGAATTAAGCAAGAATAGCACCTTTTCAATAACCAATTAGTTTTAATTTAAATCATGCCAACTTTCTTTGATGTTCACTTTTTGCCTAATGATATTTTCAGTTGATGAGAGATAAACTGAAGTTCTCTGTTGCCCCTCTATTGTGCCTCTGTGCCAATAATTTTGTTATTTGTATTGGGAAAGAATGATTGATGTTGCCATAGCAGGATCATAAGGGATGCTAGAACTACTTGACAACACATGGCCAGTGAGAGAAGTTATGAGCCAAGACTAGGGTAGGGGTACTCCCCCAGGGCTTGTGCTGTGAATACAGAAAACAGACTGGATTAGGGAACCCAGGCTATGCAAGACCTGGTGTGTCCAATTGAGGTAAAGTTCAGGAAGCTATTAATACCAAGCAATCCAGTCCTACCCAGCAGCAGGTTATCTCTGAGGGATAAGGCACTGTGTCCCACAGTGTAAGGAGATCACAGCAGGTGCGTGGGCAGTTAGAATAAAGCACCCCCCGGGGGGGGGAGGGGGGAAGACAGGCCATAGCTGAGCTAAACAAGTAAGAGTTATGGTAATGTAGGCAAGGGCTCAGGACAGGGTCCCACACCCAGGGGGAGACTGGGCATACAATGGCCAGAAGGAGAGAGGTGGAAGTCAAGTAGACCCCAGGACTGGGCAAACAGAGGAATGAGAGGCATAGTAGGAGGGAGGTATGGGTGTCTGAGGCATACAGGTGACTTGACTGGAAGGAAGCAATTGGAGGAGGCACACAGATGGTGCATCTTCTTCCAGTTAGAAATGGCATTTAGGTGTTGGTGAGTCTGGGAAGCTAGACCTAAAGGTAGAGCTTCTGAGACAATCTAGCAGCTTGTTGCTAGGGAACAACTGGCCAGATGTCTTGTATGTGTCTGTGACAATGTCACTTCTGCTTTTATTTTTACCCAAATGTTTTCCGCCAGGCATCTACCCTCAGGTTTGTGGGTTTCCATATGTGTCCATGACTTTATGACTTACAAGGTTACTCTGCTTTGCCTCTGATTGTGTGCTTCTTGAACAAGTCATAAACCTTTATATCTCCATATTAGAACTTATTAATTGCTTACCATGTACACTAGCTGATTTTCATACACTACCTTCTTTAATTCCCACAGCCTCCTTCAGAAGTAGTTATTATTATCCCCTTTCTAAAAAGAGGAAACTGAAGCTTATATGGTTTATATAATCAGCTCAAGGTCACACAGCTGGGATGAAAAAGAGGTCAGATTTAAACTGAGCTTTTTTTCAAGGTGTGTATATATTCCTTCAAATGACAACATTTATACATTTAAACATTTATATGGTTACACACTCAAACAATTCTCACTGAACTTATCAGCCACTAGATTTTTCACCTATCTATATATCTATCAATGATCTATCTTCTTTCAACTCTTAACTTTGTAATACATGGTATTTCACTATGTAAAAAGTAGATCAAGAATAATGTATTAAGTGAATGAACTAGTGCAGTTCAAAAATGTGACGAGTACTACTATTTCCTCTCTTGGTTTAGGTATTTATATTCTTCACTTTGCTATATAAAAACATAGTCATGAGTCACTTAATGATGGGCTGTATTCTGAGAAATGTGTCCTTAGGTGATTTTGGCATTTTGCAAACATCATAGAGCATACTTACACAACCTATATTGTATAGCCTACTATACACATAGGTTATATGGTATATTTAAGCATATGTGGCATATATATGAGAGATACATGATCTATATGAGATACCCTGCTGCTTCTGGGGCAGTGGTGGTAAGCCTATGGCATGCATGCCACAGTGGGGTGTCTGTTATAATTGAAAGCTCTAAAAGGTTTGCCATCACTGTTCTAAGGCCATGATAAACAAATGAAAAAAGAGACAAGTGCAAGAGAGAAAGATGTGTGAGACAATGCTGATATAGCATGGCATGCTGTTATATAGTAATTTTTGATAAGTAGATGTACATTTTAAAATAACAGTATAGTACAGTTCATACATAAACCAGTAACATAGTCACTTATTATGAAGTATTACATACCATATATAATTGTATGTGCTGTACTTTTATGTGACTGGCAGTGCAGTAGGTTTATTTACACCAACATCATTAGCTGATAGAAATATTTCATCTCCGTTATAATCTTATAGGACCACCATCTTATATGTGATCCATTGTCGACCAAACCATTATCATGTGGCACATGACTGTACTACATTCATAGACATGAACATTACAATGAAGAGAAAGCAAAGTGTTCAATGAATATTGAACTGAGGGAATATACTTTACTTCTGCCTAAGACAGATGTAAGCAAATGTGTTTATATGTTCAAATAAATTTGAGAAGTTAAAATAAAGATTTTTTTTCTTTAGAAGTCCAAATCTGAACACCTTTCTCATGACATGATCTTCATGCTTGTCTTTGCCTAACTACTGCCCATAAGTCAACCCTGTTTTTGTTCAGCCTGTGAGCTAAGAATGGTTTTCACATTTAAGTCAAAAGAAGAATGATATTTCATGGTATGGGAAAATTACAAGAAATTATATTTCAGTGTCCATAAATAAAGTTTTATTAGAGCATGGCCATGTTCATTGATTTCGTGCTTTCTGTGGCCATTTTCTCACTATCTTGGCAGAATGGAGTAGGTGGAACAGAAACTGTATGGCCAGAAAAGCCCAAATTATTTCTTATCTGGCTCTGTAGCGAACTGTGCTGATCTTCAGTGTAAGTAATATATGCTCTCATAGCATTTGAAATATTGTTTAATTATCTGACATATTATCTGATTTTCTTCCTAATGTGAGGATCCTCTTTTATTTTGCAGATTTCTACATTCTCCAAACAAAGCCAAACTTTTTATTCATCCATACTCTCTACAGTATCTTCAGATGGCAGCATTGCATTTATGTAAATAACAGACTGAGAAGCTGGTGGTGTCTCTATGAGATTAGAAGTCTCTTCCTGCCAAAAGACACCTTGCCCTGTGATGGAAAACTGGGGCTGGGGATCCCAGGAGTGGCTGCAGTGTCTTATAGAGCTGTAGTGGCTCTGAAGTGGATTCCTCAGATGCCATCAACTGATTCAGCTTGGGTGATGGAATCAGGTAGATGAGCAAAAGCAAACTGTTCTTTGTGTTATCACTCAGGACCTAAATAAAGATAAAAATGACTCAGATTGACCAGGCACAGGTATCACCTAGTGAAATGTTGGGAAGGCACTTATCTAACAACACGGTGCTATGAGTATTCAACCCCCGTGTTAGTTCAAGGGTAAAATAGAGAACACAGAATTTCCTTCTGTTTCCCAAGAAAAAGTTTGGCTTGGTATAGCTTCCAAGGAATTTGCTTTGTTTATGTATTTTTTGATGTCCAAACATAAATCTATTGTCTTTCTGTATGTCTATGTATCTTTGTTTCTCTCTCCAATTTTACAAAAATTTATTGATCATTTATTATGTGTGAGGCATAGGGCAAGCCCCAGGTTACAAAAATAAATAAAATAATCTCCACTCACAAGGAGCTCTGAGTTTATGAGATTAATGCATGACAATGATCTTTCTTGAGCTTTGGTATCATGTAACAAGTCGCTCTTCCTTAACACTCTTGGGTTCTTTGGCCCCACAGTTTCCTAGTTTTATTTTTGGGGTTTCTGATTCTCAGTCTCCATGCCAGCGCTCTTCTATTCTATCATTACATGATCAGAGCTTAGCCCTGTTCCCACTTTTCTTTTGATTCTACCTGCCATCCTTAGGCCATCTTCTTTCAAATTTATAAATCCAGTTCCAGAAGTTTTGCTGAGCTTCAGAACCGTGCCTACAAATCTGCAGTGGACTTTGTCCACTGGTACAGGTGTACAAGTCTGATTACTTGGATAGAACTTTTGATATTCCCCATCAATTCTGTGTCTGTCTTCAGATTCTCCATCTTGGTAACTGACATCTCTGCTCGTACATCCAATCTTGAAAGCAATCCCAAGTCCATTGTGACAGTATCCTCCTTTCCATAACCCACCATCTCCAATCAAAGTTACTGAAAATAATTGTTTTGGACTCTGATTATTACTCTCTGTGTGCATGCCACTGACTTCAGCCACGCAACTATCATCTCTTACACAAACCACTTCCAACTGGTCTCTCTCTCCATATGCTCCTGCCCTGTTCTATTTAATCTTCTCACATATAATGACTTTTCAGATCAAAAGTGTAAGTGCTTTTCAACAAAAATGCAAGGTTAGCAAAATACACACATATGGATCATTTTTCTTTTTTTTTTGATGGTACTGGAGATTGAACCCAGGGACTGCTGAGCTATATCCCCAGCCCTTTTTGTTTTGAGAGAGAGTCTTGCTAAATTACCCAGGTTGGCCTTAAACTTGGAATCTTCCTGCTTCATCCTCCCAAGTAGTCAAGATTACCAGCATGTGCCACTGCACCCAGCCATATATGATTCTTCATCTTAATTTTTTTATATAGTAATGCATCGTGAAGGTCTTTTAATGTAAATATGCCTAGAAGTGCCTCACAAATTTTAATAGCTGCACAGCTTTCACTTGCATAGCTCTATCATAATTTATTTAGCCAATTCTCTTTTGACAGCTGTTTTCAGTCTCTAATGACTATAAATAATGCTTTAATGAATGTTCTAGCAGATTCATCCTTCAATATATGTGTAAGTCTATCTATGAGATAAATATATAAAGACAGAATTCCTAGGTCAAAGGCTTTGTACATCTGAAAATGTGACACATACTGCCAGATTGCCCTCCAAAGAGATGGTATCAATTTTCCCTCCCTCTGACTGTGCAAGATCATGCCTGCTTCCCAGTCTGATCAGCTAAGTATTTTATTAAATTTTAGAAAATTTTCAACTTGATATATAAAAAAGTATTTATCTCTTGCTATGAGAAAGGTGAACATTTTTACATATTTTAAAGATCTCTTTGTACTCAGTTGGCTGCAATCTCCCACAACTTTTGCCCAATTTTCTAGTTTTTGGTGTTTTTCTTATTGATTTGTCAGAGTGCTTTGATTTCTTCTTATATAATCTAATTTCTAGGTTCTATCGGAAATTCTTTTAAAAGTCACAATTTTGTCAGTTTTTATTCTAATAGTGAGTGATAATCAAAGGCTACTTCCTTCATAGGGGGCCCACATGTGGAGGATGTGTAGCAGTTCTGACTTTCTGAAAATAGCTTGACAAGATCAGCTTATGCTTCCACCTATCCTACTTTGTTTCATTTTTCTAACAGCCCAATGAGGCATGTAGTATTACTAACCACAAAGTGAAGCATGCCTAGTAATCCATAATCCACCAGACTCCATTTCTTCTCTTTCTCCTCCTCCTTCTTCCTCTTTCTCTTCTTTTCTTCTCCTCCTCCTTTCTTCTTCTCCTCCACCTCTACCTCCTCCCTCTTCTTCTTTTGGTAGTACTAGAGATTGAACCCATGCTAGGCCAGTGCTCTACCACTGAACCATATCGTTCGACTATGTCCTCAGTCCTTTTAAAATTTTTTATTTTTAGACAGGGTCTTGCTAAGTTGCCCAGGTTGGCCTCAAATTTGCAATCAATCTCCCCAGTAGCTGGATTACAGGCACACACCACCAACTGAACTGAACCTTTTTCTTTCTTTCTTTCTTTCTTTCTTTCTTTCTTTCTTTCTTTCTTTCTTTCTTTCTT